ATTTTAGCTACTTTCTTGCAACTTTTAGCTTTTTCAGTCATTTAAGCTAAAATTCTTCTTCCTTCTAATATTCTTTTGCTTTCTTTAAGTTTTTGTGCTTCTTTCTGCTAATTTGAGTTATGATTCTTACATTTACGTTCTGCTAAATTCAGCTATTTTGGCCTTAGCTTTTAGCTTTTTATGCTATTTCAGCTATAGTTCTGCTTCTTTTTGCTATTTCTCTGCTTTTTCTGCTCATTTTTTACTTTTTCGTGGTTCTTTCTGCTAATTAAGTTCTTAATGCTTTTTTACAGTTGCTTTCTGCAACATTCAGATATTTTAGCCTTTAGATTTTAGCTTTTTTATGCTAATTCAGCTATAGATCTGCTTCTTTTTTGCTATTTGTATGCTTTTTCTGCCTTCTTAAATTTGTTTGTGCTTCTTTCTGCTAATTTGAGTTATTTATGCTTCTTACAGTTGTTGTGTGCTATATTCAGCAATTTTAGCCTTTAGCATTTAGTTTTTTATGCTATTTCTGCTATATTTTTGCTCCCTTTACTGTTTTTCTGCATTTTCTTGCTTCTTTCAGCTTTTCAAATTGAACTTACTATAATACTTTTGCTATTAAACATTTTCAGCTCAATTTCAGCTTCTTCAGCAGCTTTCTTACGTTTTCAGCAAAAGGCATTCACACTTGCATTTTTGCAGGAAATGCAATTTCTCTAATTATCCTTATTTCTTTGACAACAAAAAAATCCTAATTATTTTAGGCAAGTTAATTTCCAACCCATAATCTTTTTTAAATGTGACAATGTAGATAAAGAAAAATAACAAAATGTTTTCATCCTGCTTCTGCTCAAATGTCTCTTTTAAGTATCTCAGAGACAAGTTGGACAATTCTTGCTGCAGAGACCTGTAGATAGACGGCTGTCGCAGTAGCTCATCATCCAGCACGGTTCCTCTGACAAACTCATAGCAGATGCCATTCTGGAAGCTGCAGTAGATCTCAGGGGCACAGCCATGGGCATGGAAAACCTGGAACATTTCCACCTCCTGATCCCGGTTCACATAAAGTTCTGTCATTCTGCCGTACAACCGCACCAGAACGCAGCCGGGCTGCTGGAGAGAACCCACAAAGCAGCCGATCAGCTGGTTAGTGATGCCCTCTGTGAACGCCTGGAAAGAAAATAAATTCAATAGGTTACTGTATGACTGCTTAAAATATTAGCATGCAAACAAAACCATAACTCAACAAATAAAATCCATCCTTAATCAATTTAAAATTAATAGAGTATTTAAAATGCAACAGATACATGGTCCATGCAATAACACCTTGTTTTAGATATTCTTGTCAGTTCTAGCAGTTTTCAAAAACTATCTGCAATTTTTCACACCTAAGTGCAATCTGAATCATTTTTGAAATAAATATTACTTTTTGGACAGATCACCTGTGGACAATAACATAAATAGTATCATATCATATTATAATGTGTGCACTGTATAGTGTTACATTGTATTTGGTAGTATATTTATTTACATGATGTCATATTTCCAAATGTTAGTTTTTCTGCACAGCTTTGTGAAAAACTGAATTATTCAGAAGTCATTGGGAATTAGAGACAAATAGCCATTCGGATTCTCCATCACACCTAGGGATATATATATATATA